TATATATATATATATATATATATATATATATATATATATATATATATATATATATACATCCCAGTTCACATCCAAAAAAAATAGGAAAAACTCAAAATTTATATTTGAATTTGAAATGAAAAATATTGTTCTATAATTAGAAAATTCCCGATCAAAATCGGCGAAACTAGAAAATTTCGATCCAATTTTCACCCATAGATTTCAAGTATAATTAATCTTGTATTACAAAACATCAGTAATCATATAGGTGCATTGAGTAAATCTATTTTTACTATGTGTTTAATAATTTGGAGGTTGTGATTGAGAAATTTGGAGAATAATAGATCAAATCATACAAAGGAATATTGCTTGTCCCAAATCGAATATGATTTCAATTATAGCATATTCTAATTTCTTTCCACACACCAAATTGGAATAAAACAATTAATACATTAAAAAAAAGTATTGCAAAACTAATCATATGACAAATGACCAATACTTATGTTTTTTAAAGTAAAAAAAATGGGTAAATAGCACTTTACCCCCTTGTGGTTTCAACTTGTTGTACTTTACCCCCCTGTCATATCAATATAGGCCTTTGACCTCCCTGTGGTTTGCACAATGTAGCGCCCGTCAGTATATCCGTTAAATGTTAACGGAGAGTGCATCTCACTCGCTCGAAAATGACTTGGTTGAGTTTTTTTTACCATAAATTAATATTTTTACACATTTCAACCACTTTCCATTCAATATTTACCATTTCTTCTTCAATAAATACCCCCACCATCTTTTCCAAATTAAACCCTAATTCTCATTTTTTTTTGCTGCTGAACAACACCCCCCACCCCCCTTTTTTTTGTGATGTCTTCTTCTTCAAACAACTATGAAACTGTCGATCTACAATACCACGGGAAGATATGTTCTTGTGGAAGAAAAGCTGTCATAAAAATTGTTGAAACTGAGAAGCCATCAAAGGGTCGATTATATTTTGGGTGCTCCGATTCAAATTGTGGCTTTCAAGGATGGTGCACTCCCTACTCAATCAATGGCATATCAACTGGAACAACATCAGCTAGAGCTGGAGAGGGAATTGAGCAAATGGTTGTAGGCATAAAGACTAGGGTTCAAGTACTTGAAGCTAAACAAGAAATGGTGAAGCAAATGGTGGTTGGATGTCTTTTTCTGTGTTTAATTTCAGTTGCAATTCTTGTTTGTAAGTTTTGAAATCTAAAGCTATTACTAATCACTACTAATGTCTCTGTTTCCATAAACTGCATATATCAATTGCCAAATAATTTGCAAAATTAACAAAATATAATCTGCAAAATATAATCTGCAAAATTAACATTCACCAACAAAAAAACATTTTCCAACTGTTTCAACAAACAAACACATTGTTTTGCATAAGTGGCCAAAATAAATAACCAAACAAACAACTTGTTCATTGTTCAACAGACAACAAAAGATCCACTGAGCCAACTAACAAAAAAATGATCAGTTTAGATTAACTAACAAAAACATGGATCTCAATGGAAAAAGTAAAAATCATAAAATTACTTCAACTCAGTTTGGAATCAAGGCATCAAAACTGGTTTTTTCTTCCATTTCACTTGCCTTTTTCCCTGCTTTTTACTACCAACTAGAGCTGTTTTTGATCTCTGGAACAATGTTCCATTAGGCCCATGCAGTAATGTTGGTTGAGAAGAGGTAGTTTGGGAAAATAAATTCTAAACCAAAAAACATAAA